GAGGGGCAGGAGACGAGAGGTCGGAGTGCGCCCACTGAGAAGGCCTCTCCCCGCTGCTGGCTGTGAAAGTGGACCAGGGCCCGAGCCAGGGAATGCGCAGCCCCAGAAGCTGGAAAAGCAGAGAAGGGGGTTCTGCCCAGAGCTCCGGCAGGAAAGCCTAGCGGGGCTGGGGCCGGGGAGCCTCCGGAACTGCAGGTGACAACACCCCAGGCTGCCATAAGTCTTACTCCGTGCCTTTGACACTGGCTGCAGGGATTGAGGTCACGTGTGTAACATGTGCACACACAGACCACACGCTCTACTACTCAGCTGATGGTCAGAACAAGTCCGCGCATGGGACACGTTAACATTTCCGACGGGGGAAGTGCGGCGGGGTCAGGAACCTGCCCTGGCGCAGCTGGGATCTGGCTTAAAGCAGAATAGAAATTCCGCAGCTCTTTGTTCAAGGAGCTGAGGAGGGAGAGGCCACAGAGAACAGGGACACTGTGCAGGGACACCTGGATTGCGAGCGGACAGAAAGAGGCCGAGATGGTGGGAAACAAAGTAAGTGAAGAACGAAGATGCAGCCCGGTGAGGAACTCCACTCCCCGCCCTCTGCCCGTCAGCGCCGTCCAGGGTCCAGGTGTGCCGGCAAGACCAGCCGTGCCCCCGCCTGCCCCATCCTGTCCCCCCAAACCAGAGCAGATACAGGCCCCGCCCCCTCACTGGGACCTTCCCCTTAGTTCATGCGGTGGCGGGGGTCTCCCTCCCCCTCTCAGCCCGCCAGGTCCCTTCCCAGGCCTGGTCCCCTCCTGCGCTCACCCGTCACGATGTGCGTGGCTCCCACGCGGCGCGCCCCCTCCTCCAGCGCTCGGCGCCGCAGCACCCCGCAGAAGGTGCAGCAGGAGCGGCTGCGGCCGGAGCCGGCCGTGCTGCGGGCCACGGCGTCCATGGTCCAGCCCCCGAAGAGGTCCGCGTAGGCCACCACCGTGAGCGGCAGGTCCCCCTGCGCCGGCCGGGGCCGCCCCGCCGCCAG